GATTATGAGAATGCTGTTTGCAGGCACCATAACCACAGATGCCCTTGGGTTGAACATCAGGCTCACTGCAATCTTCCCAAAAAAGGAAATGTACTTCCAGCTGCTGCACCAGACCCATCCTTCTTGGAGAGATGAGGAAATCACAGCAAGGGAGCCTTTTCTGGGATATCTGAACTATGCACTGGGGGAGATGGGAAGCAATGAGAAAAGTGGAAATAAACTTAACTAACTCACTTAAGTGGCCCTATTCCTACAGAAATGGCCTTGATGGACAGTGAATAAAACTAGTTTGCCTAGAGGTGAGGGATAATTTTTGTCCTGAATTACCCTATATGTCCTCACCACCGACATTCACCAATACGGTCCCATTTCCTAGTTCATTTTTGTTCTTCTCATCAATACTTATGAGTCCCAAGAGAGAGAAAAAAAAAATGCACTTGCTTTCCAGCCCAGCCTAGATTTTCTTCCTTAAGAGGTAAACTAACCAGGGGAAGATTAACATGATGTTGTTTTGTCCAAAAATCTTTAAATATTTGGGAAAGACACAAGATCTCGTTGGATGACTGATTTTCCAGTCAAATGAGAATCAACCCAGGTCCTGGTGACACCAGTTTTCCCCAGTCTTTCATCTGGTGGTTCTCACCCACTTGGTTTATAATTTATTTAATTACAACAAGTTTTACTAATGTCCACCATGATCCAGCAAGATATTAGCTTTGCAGATCCCCAATACCACAAGGGCTCCCTGATTGGTTTTGCTACTTGGATTCCTGTCCCACACCCACCCCTTACAATCCATTTCCACACAGCAGCCTCAGTAAGCTCTTACAAGTGTAGATCAGACCTTGTCACCGTCTTTCTTGCAGCCCTCCAGTGCCTCTACTGCATTTAGAGTACACGTGGCTCCTTATGGAATCCTGTATCATCTCACCTTGGCTTCCTGGGCTGCCTTCAAATAGCTCAACTTCAGCCCACTACAATCCATCTTCTCCTCAGCTGCATCATTTGTTTTGATCTTGCTATTCCCTCTTCCGGGAATATTCTTTGTGTGGCCCTCTCCTTGCCTGGTTTCTTTTCACCCTATGGTTCTTAGTTAAATACCCTCTGCTTAGAAAGGCTATCCAGGCCCTCTTGCTTCATCTCCCCACTGTTTTTGTCAAATCACCCTATTTTCTTCATAAAAATTTGTCACCTTGTCACACCATGTGGGTTTTTGTTTTGTTTTGTTTTACCTGTGTCTCCTCCACTGGAATGTAAATACCAGGTGGGCATAAAGCTCTTCTCTCTTATTCACCACTGTACCTTCAGGGTCTAGCACAGTGTCTGATTATGTACTAAGCCGCTGGATGAGTGTTTTTGAGAGTCCCAAATCACATTACAAAGAATCACCACTTCCAAAACTGGCTTATTGTGAAATATGCAAATCTAATATTAGAAGAAGCGGTGTCCCACTGCTAAATTCCCTTGACTGTTCCCAGAATGTGGTAATCGACCTAAGAATCATTTCCCAAAGTAAGAGAACATCCTGGGAAACTGAAGGAGGGGAAAAAAAAAATTCAGACACACCAGAAAACTCTAGGCTGCTTTCTTTTTCATTATAAGTAAGACAAGGTTCATGAGAGTAAGCATCAGTGCTTGATTCTTTAGAAGTTGAAAATTAGATCAAATGAATTGGAGGACAACTACATCTCGTGTTAATGTTTTCCTCCTCGAATGAAGAAAATGAGATGATGTGAGCCATGACTCCATTTGAAAATGAAACGTTGTATTTCTATTCGCCTCCACGTTAAAGCACACTGTTTTTCATTTTAGACTCTTCATGTTGGTAAATGTTGCAATACTTTACATTCATTAGGCTCAGGCCCATTTACAATGTGCAAGTAAGACAAGCACAGATATATTGTTCCTATAAAGCATAATTTCTAAATTACACAGTAAATAAATGAGAATAAACCAGAAACCCAAGTTCTCACAAACCTTACCACAAAAGTGCTAAAAACAAATAAATAAAACTTGGGTCAAAATTCCCCACTCTTAATAGGTACAATTTACAAACTATTATGTCCTTATTATGTCAAATAAACTAATCATTCAAGAATACACTGGGTATTAACCCCAACTCATAACAGATAAAATGCTTCAAGAATAAACCCAAACTAATCAGATTTTATCTATCTTTGCAAAGTGCAATGCATAAGAAACTTGATTTTGCTGGGAACTCTGTTGATTTCTGATTAGCTGATTATAGAAGTCAGCAGCAAAGCCAAAATAAAGTAACAACTCACAGTGAGATGACAGCAAGCAAGTGTCTTTAAATTTATAATTGCCCTTGGATCTATTTAATTTAGCTTTAAGTCAGAAGGCTTAATTGAGACAAATGGTTACACTGAGCAGGTATCAGATATGACAAGAAGCTGGCTGTGATTGTTTTGTTGCACTATTTCCATTTGAGGACTTTTTCTGCCAACACTTTTCCTATGATGGCTATTAAATTTTATAGGATTTTTCCCACCATTAGCTGTAATGGCATTTGCATGTTAAATGCTCACAACAAATGAAAACCACGATTCCATTGTTTCACAGGGTGAAAGCCATGGTTACCGCTATTCCAAATGGAGAACAAATCTAAAAAGAATCAAGTAATTCCTCCTGCTTGTATGATACCTATATAGGCTCTGTGGGAAAGCCTATTTACTTTGCAGCTCTTCTTTTTTGAAACAAAAATAGAATAGATTTTTGCACATGTAAGAAAAGTGAAGATTCCACAATAAGCAGAAGACACCTCAAATGTTATTTTTTTATAATATTCTTTTACATATATATAACTTTATTTTTTGTTTATTTATTTATTTATTTTTGTGGTGCTGAGGATCGAACCCAGGGCCTCTCGAGCACAAGGCTAGCACTCTACCGCTGAGCTACAATCCCAGCCCTTCAAATGTTATTTTTGTTTAGAGCTTTTGTTTGCAATTAAATATAATTCTCCCTTAAGTACATTTGACTAAGAGGTTATCCTCAGTGGAGCTAAATCAGAAAATTCTGATGGCATTTATGTTTGTTTTAATGACCAAAAAAATGACAGGACTCTCTAGGACTTGTGTCTCAAACAACATCAAATTATGGAAACAGGAAAAGCAGATATTTAGAGTGTCTTAGCCAATTTTCTCCTCGAAGAATTTTCAGCAACTTGCTCTGAAACTTGGGGGACTTTTTGTGCTAGATTATATTTATAAGTACTTAGATATTCACAGTCATTTAGACCTAAGAAGGGTATAAGAAACTGTGTTTGTGGCTCTAAAAACTATAAAGATATACAACTGCTGGATCCTTGTAGAGTTTTGTTTCAGTGCATTCATCATTTCTCTGATAATTTTCCAAGGTACTGTCTGTCCCCTTACCCTAGAACAGCATTTATGTTTCAAGATTGTCACCTTCTAGCCACCAAATGCCTTCAGGAACTCAGGTTTTTTGTTTTGTTTTGTTTTGTTTGGGGGCAGGGGTTGTTTGAGAATGCTTCAGAAATGAAATCTCTTATTAAGAGAACCAACATTCAAAACCCTCAGACTTTTTATTTTAAATTTACCTCCCCTAAGGTGTTTGTGAACTCTTTCTCATGTTTCCCCTGTATATATTTAGACCAAAGATTTCTGATCCATAATGAGTCCCATATAAGACGATGAATTAGCTTGAAATTTGATGTAATTTCCTATTAAAAGAACATCTTTGTTAGGTAGGAGACCAGGCCCTAGCAAGGGACCACACCTTGGGGCTCTCACCTCCACCCAGAGCCCTGAGGACACTCCAACCAGAGTCCCTTCCTGTGAGGGCAAGCTAGGCCATCTTGCTGTGCATGAGAAAGTTAAAGGACCACAAAGGAAATTCAAGACCAAGAAGGCAAGGTCCCCAGTCGTGGGCATGAGCAATAGCCCAAAGGCCTGAGGACTTAAGTTAACTTGTTGCTATTTAACATATCTTTAGCACTGGGGTTTGCTCCCTGTCTGTGCATTTTTTAAGGGAAAAATAAACTTACACATGGGCAATAGAAAAGAAATTATGTAAAATTCAGTTGTCAATCAAGGTGTCAGTTAACCCCATATCCACCCAGGGGAAAGAGGGGAGTACTAGTGCAGCCCAATAAAAGTCACCTCTGCAGTGTAGACAGGACCTTTAGATGGTTGGCAGCTGGGCCCACTCTAGTTCTCTCACTTGTCCCAAAACATTACTTTGCCTTTAAAATAAACCACTGTCTTGCTCTCCAACCTCTCATGTCTGGCTCAATTCTTTGCTCGGGATACCAAGAACATGGATCCAGGATGCCCTGGGACCCCTGTCAGCAATGTTGGAAATTGCTCAAATAAGTATTTTGGAATTACAAGTTTAAAAGCCACTTTGTCATCTTTTCTTTCTCTACCTCTTTTTGTCCCAACCAATTAAGCATTCAGAACCCTTACTACCTGCCAAAATCAGAATCAGTTTTTGTTTGTGTTTGGTGAGGGAATCAGAAGATGAAGTTCATTCACTCATTCAATATTCTTGGTGCATTCCCCCAGCCATTTCAAAATGCAGTTTTTTATTTGTTCACTTAGTGGCCTGACTTTATCTTTCATATCAAGGATCACCAAAAATTTGTGGTGTATTATCCATTTTTGCCCAGAGTTGTCCAAACTCTGAGAACATGGACAACTGACCATAGATCTAGTCTGGTGCATGGCTGAGAGAGGAAACAATGGTTACAAACCAGTTCCCATGCAGTGACAAACAGTTCTAACAAGCATTTGTTTCCCTTCTCTGACTACACGTAAGCACACACTCACACCAAGTTGAACTCAACAATCCAAAATGAAAATGCAACCATCTATGAACTTCAGTGCACAACTAATTGTGCTACTTTGGACAAATCACTTAACTTCTCTATGACTCAATTCCACCTCTTTGGAATCACAGGTGATCTTTGTAGCCCTATGATTTTATTACTTCTGACCAGAGAAATGGATTAAACATTTGAGATGATAATTCACTTTATTCCAGCATGAAATACATAGTACCAAGATTTATTCCCCAGTGTTTACTCTATCCTTATATTCTTTCTGGAAGTATCCTCTTCAAAATACTTCAGGAAGCTTGCCACAACTGTTTCTACAAGGTCAATGCAACCTATATATCCTGTTTGTAAAATGTTTTCTTTTCTTACATTGTATAAATACTCATTCTCAAATCATTTCAACTACTGTGTTACCTCAACAATTTTTGAAATAGAATAATGAATCTTTTGTTACTGTAATAGGAAGTTTCCTACAACTCTGGATTTATCTCGAATAATGCTGCAAAAACAGATACAACTGAAAATAGAAATGCTTCACTGCTATTTTCATTTTATCTAATGAACAGAGAATAGCTCAGATTCAAGGAAGAAAAGGTCATAAGCTAGAATCATAAGAGGGCGCCTTGTTACAAATTTTAAAGACGCAGTTTGGTTAGGGATGCTAAGCAGGAATGTCAGAGCTACTTAAGACATTTAAACATATTACAATCTTTCAAACAATGAGGGTTATCTGCTATTGGGTTCCTTACAGTGTTTCATACATTAACACAGTAAGCTACAAGTAGGTATAGATATACAGAATTGCATGCTTACTAGCCAAGCCAAGACACAGCAAGTTATTGGTGTTATATGACATTGACTGAATTGCTGCTGCAACCCCAAAAGATCATGCTGGCGACAGCATTGGTTCCAGGCATCAAATCCCCAGATATTGGTTCATTTTGTTTAAGGCATCACACACTGTGTTCAAATCACTGCGGAGGTCCTGCACCACATTTTCAATACTTCTGGTGTCTTTCAGAATTTCAATACTCTGTGTGTAGGGATTGAAGTATACTGAGAAGGGACGGGTAATTGACTTTGCAAAGTCCCTGCAGAATAAACAGAAATAGAAGGATATGTGATCAACCCCTATTGGTACAAGAGATAGATAGAAGGAAGAAACAGAGCCAGAAAAACAAAAAGTTACTTTCTATAGATGGAAGAAAAGCAAGTTTACCTCATCTTTTCTTTGGCTTCTTCAAAACTTTCTGAAACAAAGTAGGCCTCCTGGAAAGTGGTGATAAGACATTCCTGTAAGCACGTTGTCTTTGGGTCAAAGGCTTTCACACAGGCCTTGTCAGAAAGAGCATGCTGCAAAATACACCGCAAAGCCCGTTAAACTCCATAAAGAGTCCTCCAAAGTGCCAAGACATCACACCTCTACAGCACATTTGATGGCGCAGTAATCCTACAGAACTGCCATGAAACACAACTCTCCTATTTGCAGGGAAAATTGGCATTGTGAGGGGGCGCTGGGAGAAGGGGGGGGCTTGGTGGATTGATTGGTTTGCTTTGATTTTTCAAGTCTGTTAGGTGCTGAGGGGAAAAAAATTAGATCATGGTATTATTTTATTTATCATCAGCCAAATTCTTACTGAAGAACAGTTCAGAGCTATATCCCAACAGAAATGGAATTTTAAATCTATGCTATGAATAGAAGCAGGGACAGCATAAACATGCTCCTAAATTTATTGCTATAAGCAATGTACTGAAATTTCACTTAAATGGCAGAAGTAATAATTACCTACGTGCAGAGGTAATTGGAACTCTCACTGAACTATTTGTGGACTCGTTGCTAGACGTTTTGAGGCCAGACCCTGTGTATCAACAGAAACTGAAGTGGGCCTGTATATTTGAGGATGCTTACAAAGCATTCATTTACCTTCTATCACAGACAGCAGAGCAATATACAGCAGACAAATATTGCCAGTTGGGGGAAAAAGAGCTAATATTAATAGTTATACTTATGTCCAAAGCAGGCATTAGGAAAACAAGAAAGCCGTTGTAATTACTCTTTGAACCATCATTCGCTCTGTTCACCTCCCTATATGACTGGCAGGAAGATCAGCAAGAAAATAAGAATGACCGTATCCTCCAGATAAATTCAGTGATGTTGAAAGTTAGTGGCCATTTCCCACCACCTGCCTATTAATAAATGGATGGTTTTAAAGTGCACTGTACCTAAATAACCTTTGAGGAGCTTGTGAAAATGCAGATGCCCAGGCCTCAATTTCACTTGGTAGGTCTGATGAATTCCAGAAATGTGCATTGGAAAGGTATCCAAGGCGACTCTGACATAAATGGCTGTGAAACATAGTTTGAGAAATGCTTCCCTAGATTCTGTCCTCTTTTTAATTTAAGGGGTCAGTTAGTTAAGAGAGACAGGAGGGGGTTAACAGAAATTGCCTTGAACTAAGTGAGAAATCCGATGCTGTGGTGCAGGTGCTGCCTCAAACCTGGTAACCTTGGTAAATCATTTAACCTCCCAGGGCCTCCATTCCCTCTAGTGTAAATGAGAGGTTTGGGTGGATGATTCTAAAGATACTCTCTAATCCAGCCTCTGGATTTCACCCAAAGCACTTTTCTGCCTTCTTAATCTCTAACAGCTAAGATTTCCTGGAGAAATTCTGAAAATCCTTTCCTGATCAATATTCTTGGTGCATTTCCCCAGCCATTTCAAAATGCATGGAATGATTTACAGCCCTCTGTGAAGAAGGCTGTGGTTCCCTACATTTGAAAATGCAATTGAGAACCAAAGGACTGACACGTAAGAGAAGGGGCACACTGCTCTACCCTGCATGTGGCTCACTTTCCTGCAAAGTCCTGTTGTCCAGATCAATGCATATATGAATCATGGAATGCAGAAAGCCTCTCGAAGTGAACTCATTTTTTTGGCCCACAGAACAGCTTCATTATAAAGGAGAAGGTCACTACACCTGCAAATGCATTTGTGCTGGATTCAATGCTGCACAGTGAACATCAGGGGATTTTGGTTCCACATGACCAATAATTCTGTCCACATTTTAAAAACAACTTCACGGTTTCAAAAAACAAAATGTCCTTTGATGAGAGCTGTTGCTCCTCTGCAAAAGAATTGGCTTCCCATCATCTTGTCATGGTTTTCAGAATCAGAAACTACTTTCTTTGCAGCTGTACACAGTGGTTGCATTTAACTGTAGTGCGTTGCTGTAATTATTCATTCACCCATCCACGCACAGATGGAAGGAGGGACCCTAGCTGACTCCGTGTCCTCAGACTTTTTATCTTTGCATTCAGGGGCAGACAGAGTGGTAGCAGAACAGGTTATAAGAACATTTAAATCATAGCTCCTTGGGACATCACCACTGAGCCAAAGACTTCTTACTGGGTCAAAGACAAGCACAGAAAGAAGTGAAACTCATCTATTCATTGGGTCTCCAATACCTCCATAGGACATTAGCACCCTCAGTTGTCACTATGTGTAGAGGGGGTTTCCATGACTGAAATCAGTATGGTTCTAGAAAAAAAAAATCACCAGGTAACAATATCCTATTATGACCACATTCAGTCATTTCAGCAAGTAATGGGGATTAGAATAGATCCAACAAAAGACCCAGGGTGCCCTGCATCAGACTTTGAGAAGAATCAGTGGCTTCACAGCAAATACTTTCAGGCAAAGCCCATTAGGCAACATAGATTACCCTTGTTTGATACCATATTTAAATGGAAAAACTGAAAAATAATTGTTTTAAGCACTCAAAAAATGCCATCTAATCTTAGAAGCCTGTTGTATGTGATATGTTGGTCACTTACCAGAGACCTCCCCATTCAGTTTATGGGACCAGTGCTGTTCCTTAACTAGCAATAAATATGGGGCTAATCCTGCTACCCACTGATTAGTCTGGAAAATGACCGAAGCCTAGAGTTAAGGGAGCAGCCAATGATTAGACCTATTATGCCCTCTCATTTACCTTCAGAGTGGGTCCTCTCTAAACACTGAGTCACACGACTTGATGCCCCTAACACTTCCTTCCTGAAGCGTTAAGCATCTAAATTCTTAAAGTCAGCAAGAATCAACCCAACTTCCCCTGGAGAGAAGCTTTAGAATGCTGGCAGAATCCAGCTGACAGTCTTTTACTCTCAAGCCATTTGGAAACTTGCAGGAGTGCTTGGGAGTCACCTTCTCCTCTCTGAACACTCTGCAAGGACTGTTTTTGGATTTATCTACAGTGCTAAAGACAAGGGCACAGGTCTGGAACACATAAACCTGGATGCTGTCCCACAGAAGCTAAGTATATGATAGCAAATGAGTGAAACTACCTCAGTTTGGGCTGCACTCTCCACTTTGATAAACTGAGATGTTAGAGCTTCATGGATTCTGCAGCTCTTCTTGCAATATAATGTTAACAGGGTCTGTAAATATGCAGTACTTACACCACCTTCCAGCCAGTGTAATTGATCACAACAGCCTCTCCCACTGGGCCTGGGAATGGCCTTGCCACCCTTCCCCACATAGGTGGCCATTACCAATATAATCAGCTGTAATTAACTTTAATTTCTCACTCCAGACTATTAATTATAAAAAATCTCTTTTCAACATCAAAATCTCCTAAAATTTAGTTGTTAGTAGACAATATTATACAGTGATTAAGAGAATAAGTCTTTAAGATAAAGAACTGAGGTTCAACTGGCTCCATCCCTTCCTGCCTTTATGACTCAAGACAATTTACTTAACTTCTATAGGCCCTTTCTAGTCTTCACCTGAAAAATGGGAAAACTAGTGGTGTCTATAACCCAGAGTTGTGGCCAGAATTAAATGAGGTCATGTACGCAAAATGCCTACTTGGGAAGTACTCAATATATTTAGGTATTATTGCTATTTAGTCCAAGGAAGAAGCTTGGCACACATCTATGTTCAGCCGTACCTTTCACCATGTGTGCAGCCCCTCTCTCCAGGGAAGAAGCATGCCCCAGCCATGAGACTTCCAGGACTTAGTCTGTAAGAATACCAGCCCTGGGCTCGCTCATCAGACACCTGTCTTTGCAATGACTCAGAATTATTATCTCAACTATTCTAGATGTAAACCCTGTGATCCTCACTCTCTATATTAGGACTGGTTAAAGTTTGAAAAAAACTCAAGTGTGAAGTCAGGTTTATGGGTAGTTTGGGCCCTAGATTCCAAATAAGAATTCACAAACACTCCTACACTCACACCACAATCATCTTTTCCCACATCAGAACAACAAATATATGTATCTGTGCATGGTGTGTATGTGTGCATGTGGTATTTTTTGAACCCCCCCCCCCACAGGCTCATCCTTCAAGCCAGGCACAACATGCCATCGATATCCCTATTGCAAAGGCCAATGATGCATCCAACTTATTATTATTTTTTTAAAATCAGCAATGCTTAGGTCATACCAGTTGGAATAAGCTGCATGGACAAAAGGACAACCAACCTCCTCTTCAAGCAACCCCTTTGTGAAGGCCAGAGACAGTTTACAGCTCCCATCCTCCATCATTTGCTCCTTACAGCACTAGGAGGGAGAAGGGGAGGCAGGAGACATCTGAACAGGATTAAGGAGTAGGGCTCAGCGGCACAGTCTCAACTCTGGCAATACCACTGACCTACTAGATGACCTCAGAGAAACTTCAAGCCTCTGGAGGCTCCTCTCCACAGCCTGGCAATAATTCTGACCACCTCCCAGAGTTGCTGGAAGTAGCAGTAAATACAAATGATTGTAATAAATAGAAAGCTGTTCTGAGAATGCTGATTAATAGCTATATAAAGGCAACACAATAAATTCACTTCACAAGGGCATCCTAAAACTAAAGCCAAAAGGCAATAATAATTACATTTGCTTAAACCACCAGCCTTGTCAAAACATGAAAAAGGAAAACAAATGTATTTATATGAAATATTGAAACAACGACTATGGGGTGGATGGTAAGACCACTTATAAAAAATAAAAATCTAATCTGCGGCCTGAAAAATATAAAGAAGTGAAAAAGAAATGGAATTGGCTCTTGCTTTTGAGATAAATTGTGAGTTTTATCTCAAAAATCTAATCTATCAATTAGCATTCATTTCCTGAGCACCTAATGTGAACAAATTTCACTGCTGCTTCTCCAAAAGAATTGGGCTGAGATCTATATCCATCCTTTTCTTACAGGTTTCCTACTTGATCCCATGTTCCTTGAAATATTGGACAATCAATTTTGTTTTTGTTGAATAAAATGAATAAATGAACAAGCAAATAAGAGATGAAAATGATGCCTAAATTTATAGAGTTAGATCAACTCTAGGATATAGAGAAAAAGAGTGTGAAATAAAGGATACAAGCTAGATTGTGGGTAAATGGGGATCAATTATCCAATTTTCAACCTGTTTTTCAAAGTCAGCTTTTGAGACGATTTAATTCATGATTAACTGCTCTCTGCAGTGATGGAAGGTATGGAAAAGTCCCACCCTGACACACTTTTGGAGTGCCTGCCACAGATCAGATCTGACAACACAGAGATGGAGGGGCAGGGAATAGTAGTTATGGTTATCAGATTTTTTTTTAGCTCTTAAAAAATTTTCCATGTTTGTTTCATTTCTGTCTTCAAAGATAAAAATAAGACTTATGCAAAAAATGAGAGAAAAATGAATGTTATCCCCCAAACTACAGAGGTACCACTTGGAAATATTTGGTCAGCTCTGAAGAGCACCATCTATGCCTCAGGGAAATTTTAGAAGTGTTATAGCACAAATTTTGGAAGTGTTCTGTTCTAGGACCAAAGGTGAGTACTTATGTGAAAGACTATGCCAAACCTCAAACAACTTAGCAGGTACATACATTTGGGCAAGAGTTGGCACAGCATAAAATATTTACTGCAAGAGGCATTCAAAACTGTAAGCATGTTTATACATGAATTATGATAATACTTTTCATAAAGTTATCCCTATATTGGATCCAGAACCATCATTTATCCATTCAAATAAAAAAAAATCAAAGTATTGAGAAGAGCTCTAAGAGGGCTCTGGGCATTTACAGAAGCCAGGCAGAGAGAGGGTGCTAAGGAAAGCATCTCAGGTTATGCATTCTCTGTGAACAAGCAGAAGATATTCTTAGAGAAAGAATTTCTGAATTGTAAAAGTGGTCTGAAGTAGCAATCATAAGGATGTTCCAGTGTTGAAATTTGAGAATGGAAGAATGCTAACGACTAGAGGTGATGGACCAGAACCAGTAGATGCATGGCGGACAATGCCCTTTGGTGTATGTATTTCTGGCTGATTTCCATTCCCAGACAATTCTGTCCACATCAATAGGAGCAAAAACAACAGATTCACCTCAGTGCTGCCTGCACATGCCTCATTAACCAGACCAGAAGACCCTGTCAAAAGTTGGGGGCCACGAGAGAGATTTGTTTCTTTTGTTTCTGGTATAATTTATAAACCATCTGAGGAGAATGTAAATAGGTCTTGAGCTGCATCATTTTCTCACTAACACTTTTTGCAGAGAAATCAAAAAACATCCTGTAAAAAGACAAGAGCTTATGGAGATATAATATCATCCTATTGATTGGGGTTTGGGCCAGTATGCTGAAATTAACCCCAAATGGATTTTCCATTAAAATTTGATCTTTAAAAAAATTACTTCAAGTGTTTATTGTTGTAATTGTTGTTGTTGTTGTTATGTGTGTGTGTGTTAATGTTGACCATTATCCTCTATTCCAGTCGTGCTGAGCCTCAGTTAGTTCCCCAACTGGGCCAGGCTTAGACCAGCGTCCAGGGCATGCATTCTATTGTCCACTGTTTGATCTGTGCACATTGTCCTTTCCTTACCCTTCCCATCCCTCAAGAATCAGCTTGGGTAGCAGGGTCCTTGTCAGGAAGCCCCCTCAGGCATGGCCTAAGATGTACCAGGCACATTTGTCACCTTTTTTTTCTTATCCGGTTCGTGGGTTATCTCTGGCACTAGAAGTCGACCCCCGAATAGCCAGGGTCCCAGGCAGCACAGCCTGGTGGTTAAGAGCTCAGTTCTTGAGGCCTCGACGGTCTGCATTTGAGTCCAGCTTCAACACTTACTAGCTATGTGACCTTAGACAAATCCCTTAATGTCTTTATGCCTCAGTTTTCTCATCTGCAGTTTTCTCATCTGTAATAACACCACCACCTGTCTCACTGGGTTATTATGAGGATCAAGTGGATTAATATGGCTAAAGTACCCAAAACACTAAGGTCTATTTAAGGGTTTATTAAGGTTGTTGTGCTATTTTCTTCCTATTCTTCTTCTCCATCATTATTATTTGTCTTTTCATCCCAAGTGTCTGACACAGTACAAGGCACATTGTAAATGCTCAATCAACCTTTTGAAGAATTCATGAAGGAATGGAGTCATGGAATGAGCAAACTCGGTAGAACTGCAGTGAAATTGCATCTTTTAGGAATACAACCAACCGAGGATGGGGTTGTATCTCAGTGGGAGAGCACTTACCCAGCATATGTGAGGCATTGGGTTCAATTCTTAGCACCATATGTAAATAAGTAAAATAAAGGTCCCTCAACAACTAAAAGATAATAATAATACAACCAACCAAAAAGTTCCAATAATAATATATTTCCCAACTATATTATGTAGGAATAACCAGTCTCAAAATAAAAACCCTAGGATAGTACATAACCTGATCTTGGTCTAAATAATCAAGGAAATATTGAATTGATCTCTAGCACCATTTCCAGATTGTATATAATATTACATTCTAAATTCATCAGAACTTGCTATTCCCCAGTGATGCATAGATAGCAATTCTTAAATTACCAAACTATGAATATCAGAACGTCCCAAGCCCCATAATTTCTGAATAAATGATCATTTTACTATATTTTAAGGCAAAAAAATAGCATTCTCTAGGCATCTCTAACACATAATAGACTCCTCTTTGACAATATCCTTAGTTTTTTTTTTCAAATTGTACACAAGTGTTTTAATATCCATTAATTTTGAATTAATGTACATAAAAGAAACTAAAATAACCTCAAACCCCCCTTTAGAAAGAAGATGATGGGCAGTCTATGGGAACAATGGAGGTGACAGAAATCAGTGTAGCCAAGCCACCCTCACAAGTGAATTTCAATCAGTAGGATCACTGCTAGGTCATTGCCCACTTTTCAGCACTAAATTTAGGCCAGCCATTTGTTACCAAACACTTGAGGATACATTTATCCTTCCTGTTGATTTGTACACATAGCTGTTCATCCATTTGAGTCACACCAGAAACCCAGAAAGGCATGACCCACTTTCAGAAGTGCAAAAAGTTAGGTCAGCACCCACATCTGAGGTGCCAAATCCTCTATATTAAATATGTATGGGGTATCTGTGAGTAGAAATGCTCAGACAAACAAATCAATATTTTCCATGACCTTGAACCAGTTTGCTTGGGAAGGATATTTTCATTCACAGCTTCATACCTGTAATTCTCCAATGGAGGAAAGCAGTCCTGCTCCATATGCCCGCAGTTGCCCTTCTTGCTTGCAAAGGCCAAACTCAATTGTGAAGAAATAGCACTGGAAAAAAAAAAATAGACACACATCCAGTGAATTGGTCAACAAGTTCCTCAGTAGAATAAAATGGCACCCAAAGTAAACTGATTGCACTGTACATAATTTCTTCAATGTTATCAACTTAAAAACATTTAAAACAACATTTATCGAAATCTACTCTCTTGTTTAATGAATAATCCTTCCATAAATTTAAATTATATGGGTAAAGTATTAACTACTAAGATACTTCATACTTCCTAGATTCAGAAACCCTATAGGTCAAATCCTATCCTATCCTATCCTATGCAATAATTTTAAAAATAAAAGCACAGATTTAGAAATAAATGACTATCACAGTGGTAACACCATAAAAAAATGTTGCTATATTTACCAACCTGAATTCCAATGACATAAATAAGTTCATGCAAATGTGGAAAAAATTGCTTGGAATCCAATCATCTCAAACTGATTTTCGTAATTTGTTTATTCATTCAACAAACTTATTGAATACCTATTAGGTGCCTATGCTTGCGAAAGAGTTGTGGTGAAAAAATAAAAGAGACCAAGAAAGCAAGAATATGCCTACCAGATTATCATAACCACAACTTTGGTGTGTGTTTTATTAAGATCTTAAATGTATAGCTATGTATGCATATGTATATGCATGTGTGGATTCATATGTGTGTGTGTGTGTGTGTGTGTGTGTGTGTGTGTATAATGACCTTAGTTGTATCAAAATCAAGTACTACAGCTTCCCCAGGATATTAAAACTTGCAATCTCTTCTGTTGGATTTATAAAATCAACCTAGACAAAGCCAACAGATGCTGTTGTGAGGGTCTACAAACACACTACTTTTTCTCTGACAGATAAGTGAGAAGCTGACTATGAGCAATAAAAGCTGCATCAGATTAACACTGTCCTGCATTAGTGACGACCGAGCACTGAAGGTGTTGAGAAAGAGGATTTCAACACTCCTGAGGAGGGGCAGAAAATAGTTAGTATTTGTAGCACATAGCAGTTTGTTCTATTTTCATGTGGAGGTTAAGATGTCCCACAGTTTAGGAAGGCATTATTTATTTTTTAGTGTGAGGATGACCTCTGAAGTTGAGTGGTCTAAAACAGGAAAACTAGAATCTCATGGCACCTTCTTAGTGTACCTTTGGCTGATTTCCCTAATTTATACTGCCTTTATAGCCCATGACATGACATCCTTAAAGATTTAACATTGAATATAAACGAATTTGTGCGGGGGGGAAAAAATGTGCTGTCATATTCAAAAGCATCCAAAATACACATATGGAGCCAGCTACAGGAGCATTTAGGTCAGCTATTAAGTGCATTTTTAATTTTACTTATGCTACATCAATGCATACATAATTCATGGTCACGGCTATTATCCAAATCAAAACAAGCAGAGACAGCCTCTGAGAAAAATCTGGTGTGTTGTTCACAGTTTTCACAGCGATTTGGCCTCCCACCCTATTTTACAGCAGGAATTAAAAGGTCTATGTCAATTCAGCTAAAGATTCAAAAGTCAATCTATCATCCAGTGTGTAGTCAATGTGATTCTAGCATCAGAGCAACCTAGAGGGAAGAACCACCGTGCATCTTCCTTCCTATGGTGCAGACTGTACTCTCGCCCTTACATCATCTGGGAGTCCTTCCAGAAACTCTGACCTCACACAGCTCCATCTGCTTGCTCTCCGTCTACCTTTCCCTTTGGTTTCCTGTGCTCCTTGACCAAAGAAAGCCCCTGGATGCTGCTTCTGCAGCCCTTTGTCCTCAGAGAATGAGAACTTTTGCTTGGAGATAGTTTTCCATTTGCAGCTCCGTGTGTGACTGACAGATAATGAGAAATAGTAAATTGCACCCGAAACTCAAGTGTTGGCAAAATTTGAATTATGAACTTGTTCAGGGTAGTTTTCTTTCTGTTTTCGATACCGGTGAAGACCTCAATTAGATCACTAATTAGGAGGAAGGAGCAACCGCACATTTCTACTGTCTGGTTTTATATGTGAAGCTGGCTTAGAGTTGAACTAGCTGACCTCTTGAGGACCCTTCAGAATTTGAGGATAACTAATTGCTTCTTGAAAATTTAAGAAAATAGAGTTTATTTTCCTCTGAGAACTCTCCAGATGTGGATCTATAATATACTCCCTGGAGATTTACCAAACAAATATCCTAGCAATTAGAAAAAAAATAAAAATAAAGAGTGAAAACATATTCTGAGCCTTGTTTAAAAAACAAAAAAAAAACAAAAAAACAAAAAACACCTGCAAAAGAGAATTGCCAATTCTTGGCTGCTGGTGTCTTTTAAACAAACAAATAATACCAAAACTAGCACCTCCCAAATTGAAGGGTACCTTTCATCAGCACTGATGTTCATGAATTCCAAATTTTATATGTCAATTGTAATATATAATTATTTATAAATATTTTACTTGAGTATAATTATATACAATCATTAACTGAAAACCAAAACAGGAATGATAGATCGGACCTCTTCCACAGAAGAAAAGCAGAGTCATTTACACACACAGTCATTAAAGCAAAGGAAGTCTGAGTGACAATCTGAAATCCAAACACTGCTGTGGAACATGGCTGGAGTAGTGCTCTTAGGAAAAGGAGATAGGTCGCCCAATGCTGCCATCTTCAGATCACTTCTGGTAGTGCATCATCTTTGAAAAGGTTTCAGATGGACAGTGATAAAAGTCTGAAGGAACCAAGTCCCCAGGCATGACAGGACACCCAATGAAGTACACAACGATCCCTTGTGGTGATTCACAAAAATCACACCATGCAACACCCTTCTTATGTTTGGTGCTAGGTGCCTGAAGTTCTTGCTAAGGTCACATATTCCAATTAAATGTCCAAGTTTGTCAAGGAACTTTTGATGGGATAGGAATTTACTCTTTCAGTTTGCCTCTTGATGGGAGATTTTACCTCCTGCCTCTCATACTCCCTGCATCCTTTGAAATAATTACATAAATTCTGCCCAAAAGTCATTGTAGGTACAAAAATTGGATTTAAATGGCACTATAAACTGCTAGGAGAAAGCTCAAGTATGATTTTTTTTTAACCTTCTCCAGAAAATTTGGCTTAAACATGTCATTTAATAGATACCCAAGTGAGTAAATGAGTGATATATTTTCTCTGTCACCTTTCCTAAAAGCTTGATCTTACATATTGGTAACATATATCTTCAAGTGATAATATGCATCATTGCATACCTAGAATTCCATTTTCCACATATCTTGCACATGGGCAGGAAGCAAGAAGTTGAAAGAGCAACTGAAATGTGTTAACATAACAAAAAGTTATATGTTGGAGCTGCGGTTGTGGCTCACTGGTAGAGCACTTGCCTCACATGTTTGAGGCACTGGGTTTGATTCTCAACACCACATATGAATAAAATAAAGGTCCATCAACAAAACAAAACAAAAAGATAGTCACTGGTTTAAAAAAAGTTATGTGTTATATTTGTGTGCTTTTCTTATAAGAGAACTCCTCAGGCCCTTCTTTAGATCCTATTTATCCTTACATGCTATCTTACTACACACTTGTGACAGAGCAGTTCTTGTTATTTCCTTTGTATAGTGGGAAAACTGAAGCTCAAATTTTAAATGATTTGCTCAGATCTCACATAAGAGTTAGCAGAGTTAGGAATTAAACTCAGGTTTCCAACTGCTAATCTAGCATTCTTTGCCATTAGTGATTGCACTCTGGACCAGTAACAGCCAATCACACTTGCAAAGTAGTTCCTGGTGTTGAAATACTGAAATCGTTCCAGAAGGGATGTAAATAGCTATTACCCCACTCCTCAAGTGCCCCTGGCAACCCACGCTTCCCTGACCCACTTCTGGATTCTGCCTCCCACACTCGTCCACCACCACCACTACTTCTTTATGATCTAGCAAATAAAGGCTCAATGCCTGTAGAACTGGGACCTCCAGGACACTGCTCCAACACCCGTGTAACAAGCGTTTGTTCTACTAGATGCCCATGTCATAACAAAAGGATAAATCCCAGAAAGGAAGAATGCCACTCAAAACTGTTCTAACATCAGGGGTCTAAAGCTCTGGTCACTGTAGATAAAAACACATAAAAGGGACTCGGTGTCTCATAGCCTCCCTTTTGCAGAGTTTTTGGTAAGACTTTTTCATCCTCGAACAAATAGCATGTCAAAGTATACATTTGCAAGGTTGTTGAAAAGGTAGAGACTTTCAAGTTCCCCCTCTACCACCCACCCCCAGCTACTAATCTGAAGTTTAGTTACATCAAAATTTCAGTTTATAAACAATGAGTGTTTTTCTAACTTTAGCCAAGATTCCTTCATCTTGATTAAATTGCCAATGATCATAGTATGGAACAAGAATGATGTTTGATGGCTAAGCAGGAAACTTTAGAATAGAAATATTAAGGCAATAGAAATAAACATTGGGAACTAAAAGTGAAAATGAAGGCTGCATTGCTAGAGCCACATGGGGGGGGGGGTCACTGACTCTGAACAGCCACACCTGTGCCCCATCACTCAAACAAAACTTCCCACCAGACATCAGTCTTTGCTGCTTTTTCTTCAAACATTTAAACTCCAACTATTCCCAAGAGTTGTACTTAAAGCCAAATCACACTAAGGTGTCTATGCCTGCCCCAATGCTTTGATTTGCAAAACAAAGGTCCAGAGTGGGAAAATTTTTCTGGGTCTGAACCTCAAGAGAGCAGAAAGGTGGTTTTTGCATGCTTCAACATTTTGCCATACATGTTGCCATTATCTAACTAGTGCCACATCAAATTTGAGTGCAAAAGTGGTAGAAACAGGGCTGGGAAACGTGAGGTCTGATCCAGGGCTCTAGTCCCCAGTCAACACTGTTCCTCCACAGTCCTGGGACCACAGCAGCTCTACGATCTCAGGCCACTTATTCCACGCCTTTGAAGCCCCATCTGGCCCTTAACAAAATGAAGCCACTCCTCAAATGTTCACGGATTTAAGAATAATCTTTGTACAAATTCCAAGTTCAGTGGC